TTTGCTTCCCCCATCGGCGGCCATACTCCTTCGGGGGAACATTCTAACGACCGTACTTCACAGTTCGATACAAGAGCTCTTCAACGACGACAACTGCCTGCGGCGTTCATCATGAGAAATTCATTTGTCTCATTGTCGTCTCCTACTCCTCATTGACATGGCACTCTGCGCAAACTTCATCAGTGTGTTCCCCCAAACTCAGATTCAGACATTCAATTGCCAATTCCATCCATTCCAGTAGGCATGGCCTCCAACAACTCGTCCGCTTTGGCAAGCGACTCTTTTGCTCCTGGTCCGGTTTCAATTGCCGCCATACAAACTGAGAATACCTGTAGTTTTTTAGCTGCTCGCCTACAAGCTTTCCAACGGCTCGCTGGTGTACTTTCACCAGCCATATCCTGCTCCGTCCGCATCCTAGTAATGGACTCGGACATGCAGCGCTCCGACGCAGTTGTAGAAATCGATGAAATTCGTACGGATACCGATAGACATAATTTTGCCTTGGCCACGTCCCGAATTCCATCTTTTTGTGTGCTCTGAAGCCTGGGTACCCGCAAGCAAACGATCCGTGTTGCATCATTGAACCAATAACAGCATCCTCTTGCGAATGACAAATTTTCTTGCGGGCCTCTGAACGACCCTGGATAAAAAGAACTGCGGCATCATTAGTAGTCACCCCTGCGCTCAGTACGGACCGCCTGGAATCGCGCCCTCCTTCAAAATCGATAACACTAAAACCCCAGAGGCTAACCTCAATTCCCCTCATCTCTCGACCTCGCCAGCCCTTCTCACGATAATAACCCCGGCTTGACATCCCGAATACACGCTTTCCAACTGCTCGCTGCTGTACTTTCACAAGCCATATCCTGCTCCGTCCGCTTCCTGGTAATAGACTTGGACATGCAGCGCTCCGATGCAGTTGTAGAAATCGATGAAATTCGTACGGATAGCGATATAATCTTGTCTCAGCCTTGTCCCGAAGTCCATCTTTTTGTGTGCTCTGAAGCCTGGGTACCCCCAAGCAAACGATCGATCCGTGTTGCATCATTGAACCAATAGCAGTATCCTGCTGCGCATGCCAACATTTTCTTGCCGGCCTCTGAACGACCCTGGACTAAAAGAAGTGCGGTATCATTACTATTCATCCCTGCGCCCAGTACGGATCGCCTGGAATCGTACCCTCCTGCAAAATCGATAACACTAAAACTCCAGAGGCTACCGGCAAATCCCCCTCCCCTCCATCTCTCGACCTCGCCAGCCCTTCTCACGATAATAACCCCTGCTTGACATCCCCAATCAGTCTTTCTCTCTACTGCGGCAGAAATTCCAACATTACCCAGAGCTTTTGTCTCGTTTTCCTATTTTATGCAAAGGATTAAATATCGAGGAATATACTGCGACGAAGCCTCCCGGACTGACAAGCTATGAGAAAAAAGAGGGGTACAGATCAATCGAAGAGAGACGGAATTTGGACAATGAGGGCTGCTAGAGATAAGAGACGTACTGTAGATTTGTGCGGCGCGTGTGCGGGTTTCGAAGAAGTCGGTTTGTGAGTCTTTCCGTGGGGCGTGGACAACACACATTAGCCGGTATTCCGTACAGTACTTCAGCACAAAACAGACACAACACACGCGGACACGCACAAATTCCGTGGCACTTTTGTAGTTCCATTTGTATCTACCGCCCTTTTCGCTGTGAATCCGAGATATTTGACAATTTCTTTCCTTTCCCTCTATATATATATTTGCGTATCGTGATTACGTGGTTGTTCACCTTTCTTCTCTCATTCTCCTGGTTCGGCATTGGTTGCACCATGACTCTTAACAAAAAGAAGCGCACGGCAAGCTCGGTTGGTGACTCTGGAAAGCGCAACAAGCCGAAAAAGAGCAAAAATAAATCCAAGAAAAAGATCGACGACGGTGTGGGCACCAGCGGAGATATAGCCGCCACTTCATCCCCAGTCACGCCAATTCGCACGGTGAAAAGTTGTCGTTTACAGATTCCCCATGCCCCGCTTTACCCTTCGACAATGGATCTGAGGACGACTGGCCTTCAATCGACGGAAGCAAAGAGGCTGCGGAAGAGCAATATCCTCCCGTTGAATTTACGAGGGCTGTCATAGACCTTGACATGATTCGAAATAGACATGCTCTTGTCATCCAAGAACGAAACCAGCGAAGGGTGCCTAGAACCCCGGGGTCCAGTCGAAACGCAACCACGCGTTCTGTTGCCAGTTCCCGTCCTGTGAGGCCAGTGGCGCTGTTGACTCTGGAACAGGCTTGGCGCCTTAAACACCGTCATCTCTTACGGGACCATCCCGACTTTTTCTCTTCCCATGAAGCAACCCTTGAAGTACAAACCGCGGTCTGGCAGCGCCGCGCTGCATACAAAGGCGTGCCCGTCTCTGACGTGAACAATAGTGATCTCAAAGAGATCTATCGATTAGAGTACGAGCCTAAGATTTCTAGAGCGGGAAGCGCTGGCTCTTTCAAGCATTTATGTATCGTAGCTGGACAGCTGCCACGTCTTTGCATCGTCTGTGATGTGTTGCAAATGGAAACGCTGTGGAAGCCGGGGCAACTCTTTCAGGCGATTTGCCACAAGGACACAGTTGATCTCTTACTTTCTCACTTCCGTGTCAGGGCGGTCTGTAAGGCCGTCATGACCAAGGCCTTTCAGCTGAAAAAATCAGTGATCATGCCAAGGTTCATTTCCAAGGCAAAAGTGAACTGTACGCTGCCGATGCAGAATGCAGTCGCATACATTTGCGTTCTGTGTTTAACGTCCAAAAAACTCTCGCGAGACAGCGCGCCTCCGATCGTCGGGTTATCGATGACCGTGTATCCAGGACGGCAATGTTTATGCCGCAGGACTTTTCGCGTTGCAAACAAAATATTTGCAACACATTGGACGCTATTTTGGCGTCTTTTGATAGCACAACCGTCGATCATAGGGTCAGCGATGCAGTGAACGCGGTTTTCAAGCAAGGCAGAATCAAAAACAGGTGGAGTATGAATTTCATACACCTCCTTGTTCTTACAGGCGGGGCCAAAGACCGCAAGTCTACACTCAGTTACAGTTGCCGTCCTCAGTCGACCTTCCCGATATGAAAGAAATGGCGGGAAATCAGGGCTTCATACAAATGAGAACGGTGAAGGAAAAAACTGCCCGTTCACTGCGCATGCCCTTCGTGCTTTTCCCTGGATATGTGCTCAAGTACGTGGAATTCCATTGCTCCATCGTGCGCCCCGCCATTGTGGAGGCAGCTGCGTTTGATGAGTCGGATCTCATCCACAAGCCAATGTTAATTCACACCGAATCCGCGCACAGCCTCATCACTCCTCAAATAACGAAAACATTCCAGCGTTTTCTACGTGTTAGCGAGCCGACGCTGCAGCGTCGGCTCGCTAACATGGCAGATACCACAATCATGATGCTGACGAGCTGTTACGGCACGATGATGATGCACAGTTATCGTCGCAAAGAAATATTTCCAACCTTTGACGAGACCGCATTCTCAGACACACTTGCCATGCAAATGAACACTTCAGTTGAACAACTCCGTTCAACATACATTGGATTGGACAATAGTGACTACACAGAGACTGCAAAGGCACTGATTCGTGCCCTTTCCGTACCGACAGACCCGGATGACTCGAACGACACGATAGGTTTAGTCGAAGAGGTGCCGAATGCGTCTGGCTTTTTCTCTAATGACGAGCAATCAGCTTGGGCTCGTCTCTTACTGGCGTCCTTTTCCCGTTACAACCTTGTAAAATCCGGACTTTGTCCCGCCCTTGCACGCGCTGCTCATACGTGGGGTACAGCATTGCGGAGGAAAGGAAGATGTGGCGAAGGGGGGTGAGTAGGACACTGGTTAGACAGTGAAAACCAAAAGATGCGTTGCGTGGTGAGGAAAAACGCCGTGCTGTACATCATGTACATATAACGTTGTGATAACGTTATTGTAGCATAACCGCCGGCTACTGTACTATACATTATATTTAGAGTTAGATCTAACGCTGTAAGGCACGGATCTCACAGCGTGCGCGCGCGCATCCCTTACAGGGCGTGCGCACCAACACGTGTACCCCACGTGTAGCACACGTATGCTGTCAGCCCGACGGCTGACAGCGTTACAGTGCGGGCCGGCCCGCGCTGTATACAGTAAGCCGACTACAGTACAGTCCGTACTGTACTGTAGACGGTTAATTAACTTGTACAATAAATATAGGGAGCGACCGCCGGCGGGGAAGACGAGGACAGGCAACCCTCCACCGACGGTCCACCACCCAGCTTACTCTACTCACACCGCTGTTCCGCGAGTAGTAACCACCGAGCGGGTAGTGGACGCGCGCGCCACCGCAGCGAGCTGCGATCCGCCTCCGCCCGTCAGTAACGGATCGTCAACCGGTACTGCTCCGGGGCGTCGAGGTGTCGATCCGCTCGCCTGCGCGCGCGTCCCCGCCGCCCACTCTCTACCACCCGCTACCGGCCCGCTTCTGGTGGCGTTGGTTGGTTCAAGACCGTCGGTACGCCCATCCGGGGTCTTCTGCCGAACATGGCGAACACCCCTCCGCCGTGTGTGGGGTGTTTATGCGACAGTTATGCGTGCAGCCGGCTGCGTAGGGGAAATCGCCCTACGAGAATTTTTGGCTGATGGATGGGCGAGGAGTGACGGATAATTATGCAAATAATTGGGAGATGAATGGTCGACAGGTGGCGGTTGAGCTACCCTGCCATTAAGCGACCACAGATCCAGAACTGTAGGCGTAGGCTGAAGGGTGGCTGACAGAAGTTGTATTTCACGAACTTGTCTGTGCCAATAATCTGCCATTTATCTATATCTACTCTGTCATTTTCCCACATTCCACTTCGGGAGTGGCGGTGCATTGGTGGTGCACTGGACGAGAAGATGGTGAGGAATGGTCCTGTCAAGGCAGGCATGTTTGCTAAATGGCAGTAAAGTGGCAGGTAGGAGGTCTATGCATAGCGAGGGATTCAGCGGAACGCAGCATTGATTAGTGCCTTTCTTTTGTGAGGAGATCCTAGATTGCCCCGACGTCACTCCTTCTGCGGCACGCTCATATAGATAAGGGATGGCCGCCGCGCCATCGGAGACGTCACTCTTGGTCCAGCATTGATTCACCATCTCCAATAGCCAAAATCATCGCTTTTCTCTTTTCCCGCACTAATCGTACCACTAGTGCCTTCTGTAGCGGCGTCAGACGACAGCAGATCGCAACCTTCGTATGATCGGACAACGCCATGAATACATCTGAATGATCCTCAATCGCGTGGTGCAGAGAAGCCCCGTCAATGATCACACCAACCTCTTTTTCTTCCACTTTTTTCTTCTGACGCATGGACAGCCGACGAGGCAAATCAGCTATTGCGCTGAAGCTCGTCCGTCGCTGTGGAGTTTGCGCATCCAACACATGACGATCGAGAGTGTCATTAAGTTGTCTTTGCACCTCCGCGGATGAGCTTCCTGCAATATGCACCACTTCCATGTTCCTATCAAGCAAGTTCGCTGAATATCCAATGTTTTCAGCTGTTTCTCTCTTGTCACCAGTCAAGACCCACAGTTTAATCCCTGCTTCGCGCAGAAACTTGATCGTCTCGGGCACTTTGTGTTGCAACTTATCCTCTACAGCAGTCGTGGCGACATACATCAAACCCTCCTCGAGTTCAGCGCTAATCTTTGAATTCTTCCCTTCCCTGTCCTCCAAAGAATTTTGCGCCTCTTGGAACCGTTCAAACCAAGTTTGGAAGTCCTTCTCCTCCAACTCTTTCATTGCAAACACAAGTATTCGTAGACCTTCCTTCGCAAACTCGTCAATATGATTCTGAATCAATTCTATGTTCGCGTCTTTGTTTATCAACTTCAACATGATCGTATCAGCACCCTTGGTGAACGTTTTAATTTTCCCGTCAGGACACCAGAGAATCATGCCCATTCTCTTGCAGTCTGAATTGAACTCCAGTTCCGCCAAAGTCGTGTAAGTTTCTTTCGTTCCAAAGCGATCAATAACGAGTGTGTCAAGGGTTCGCGTCATAAGAGTGATCCCGTATTCTCTCGCCGATGTAACTAATGCAACCTCATCCGGACTCTGCCCTTGATATTCTGGAAGTGCCTCTTCTGAGCTGTTTCCATCTAGCACAGCCGTCTTGTCCCCCAGAGCCGGATTAGTGCGTTTCTTACTCTTCTTTCTGCCCGAGTCTGTAGAGGAGTTGTCAGACTGCGTCTCATCCTTGGGTTCTGGCACGACGCTGTGACAGAGAGCCGTTACTAGCAAAAGTTGCTTCACAGGCTCGACAACATCTTTGACAGAGCGATGCATGGCTCTTTTCTTCTTGAGACAACTGTGCGCCAGCCGAGCAGGCGATGTAACGCATTATGTTCTCTGTGAGCGTGCCCGTTTTGTCGCTGAGGACGTGCTCGACCTCGCCGAGCATTTCATTCAGATTGGTCGCTCTTGCCAAGACCTTCTGCCGTCCAGTTCTCATCCGGAAATCAGCAGACATGAATAGTGCTTGGAGAACCCGAATAAATTCGAAGGTCACGAAAAGCGAAACCGGGATAAAGGTAGAAAACAAAATGAGAAACGTGCCCAGGCTTTGGGAAGTGACTTTGCCACCAGATTTCAAAGCATTCTCCCCCATGTACCACTGGCCGGCACCATCCCTGTCTTGTAAGACTCCAGCGACAATTGCGCCTGTGATGACGAGGGTAGCGAGGGCAATAAACAACATAAGGACGACCCAGTTAAGTTTGCGCTCAACGGAACTCATTTTGCTTGGGGGGTTGCGCATGTTTAGTGCAACTTTAGTATCAAATCCAGTGTACACAGCAATACCATAAATGTACTCGGTGTTTCTCAAGATAATTCCTCTGAGCAGCAGCGACGACGGGCCGAGCGGGACGGGGCCCTCGCCGCTCAGTTCAATGGAGGCTTCAAACTCGTGCAGAGCAGTGGAAGGCCTTTGAGCTCTGATCTTCCCTTGAAGGCAGGAAGCTGAGAAGGATGTTCGATTTCAGCGGTAGCTGAGGCGACGATGACGCGCTTTAGATTGGACTCACCGTCCAAGTTTTCTGTAGACACACAAGTTTTCTGTAGACACATAAGCAATACCGCCTTCTAAAGCGGAATGCAAGAGGACGAGGTCGCACGGAAAAACCTCTCCTTTGCGCACGAGAACGATGTCACCAACGGCAATGTCTCTTGAAGCGACAGTGCGATGCAAGTCAGGCTCCAGATGGGCGGCTTGCAGCGTATGGGCAGTCTCTGATGTGACCAAGGAGAGCTGCTTCTTCGTCTGGATGCTTTCCGGGACGCGGGCCATGATAAGCCTCTCCTCGCTGTTTTTGGCGACGATCATCGTTTGCGCGCTTGATGTCCTCGAAGATGTCTCTCGCAAAACCGAAGCCGACAACGACAAAGAGGGGGAGGACGCTTGCAAATGGGGTGCTTGGGGAGATGTTAGGAATGAAGGAGATAATGGCAATGACAAGGAAGTAGAAATTGGAGACGTGTTTGAATTGTTCGTAGAGGGGATGGTGAGGAGCGAAAAGGACAGGAAGGGGTCTTTCGACATCATGGGAGACGCCGAGACGAGTATCGATGCGATGAAAGGTCGGTGGTGGAGATAAAGGAAAGCTACGGGGGGCGAGGGTGGGGACAAGGAAGCGGGAGGGTATGTAGATGGGGGTAGGAGACGGTTTGCGCTTCAAATAGAATAGGATGGGGGAAAATGCCAAGTGGTGGACCAAAAGGTGGATCGGGGGTTGGGAATTCTCGGTATGATGCGCGGGACGCAATCAGCCGCAATCGTCATTGGCGCGATGCATCCCCTCCGCACGCGCGCGCCGACTGTAACCGCGCCGCCGCCGCGCTTTATGACAAGGCTGACATAGCGCTGTGTCCACGCGATGATCCTTTCTTTCCGCCCCCCCGCGCAGCATGCTCCGCCATACCGGCCGCGCACCGCGCCCGTGCGCGCCCGCACGCCGCGCGCCGAGTTTCTCCCACGCGCAGCCACCACCCCCCCAAGGGCACGCGTGGAACGCTTTTCCACCCCCGTTCCTGACCGCGGGCCGCTTGGAGGTGCCATTACTCTGTGAGTTGTTACAGCTAACTCTTGGTACCCCTGCTCGTTACCTTCGCCGCCGATGGCTCGTCGTCGACTGGGATCGCGTCGCCGAAGATCTCGCCCCAGGATCAAGTCGGATCGCGTCGATTGGATGCTCGACGTGGTTAGGTTTCTCGTCCCCTTCGCCGTTGCGCTTGTCGCAGGGTGCTACGCAGGGTGTATGTGGACTTGGGTTGAGGGCCATCGGCCGTAAATGCCGTCGTGGTTTGGCTGGCATATGTTCTGGTCCTTTGAAGTGACAAGTTTTCACCGCGTCATGAGGTTATGCGATCCATGGGAAGCACATGTCCCAAATTTGTCGACCATCTCGATCTTCGGACGAGCAGTGGCATGCATCAGTTGCAACTCGACAACAAGGATCTCCTGCTCGATTCAGGGCAAGCCCTAGTTATTCCAAACCCAGGTTCGAATGCGTCTCATCCTCGTCCTGAAAGCAAGGAAACAGCTGTGCCACGCAGAAACCAAGTCGAATTTGCGTCGATGATGATTACAGTTGATGCCAGGTTGTCATAATACATCGTCTGAGCTTGGAACAGAACAAGCCCGTTTCTTGTCCTGGGGCCGTCGCTATATTACGTTATGGAGCGTATATCAAGCGCGATACCTGAACATCATTACGTGCCGAAAGCAATTCACCGAAAAGCTTCTAAGATTTGGCACCGTTGTAAACCCACAAATCCCCAAGCCCGTGTCTGTCCCGTTTTCTCTTAGACGATATTTAAGCGCATTATTTTCAGTGCGTGCATGCGGAAAGTGTTGCGATGTACCGCATATATTGGTGCCGTTGCCAACTGAAACTGGAGTTTTCAGACGACACAAAATGGGAAAATGGACGCTGGAGATACACAAGATCAGTTCCATGGTCGTGACGTATTCTATTCAACTCAATGCTAAGTGCATATGCAAGTACTTCTGGCGAATGCGATGAATTGCATGCTCAAACCTTTGCCCTTCTCTCCCTCTAACACGATAATCGACAAGTGGGAGCGTGCTCCTTCTCACGAGGGTATGGAAACATTGCCGTTGACTCTAATCCTTTCATTCACGAGCTTCCTACGAATACTCAACTTAACCCTGCTTCGGAGCTTGCAAATTGGGCGAGAGTGTAACGCAATCTCGACAAGTTCTCTGCTCCATGAGAGCAAGATCGCATGAAAGCTGCGGCATTTCTGACCGATCCGGTCCCCATTTTAATCTTGCTGAAACTACCGTACCATTTTTAATATCTAGCTCCGGCTTTAAAGCCGAGCTGAGGCGGTTCCTTCACTTTCATGGCTCAAGCACTTTTAGGTCCAAATTTATCACCGCGTTCATTGAAGAAACAGGCTTCCGTCAAGTGTCACCTCCTCCGACAATACCTGATTTTATTAGCTGTAGATGCAGCCTATTGTCAGGGTTTCTGAGTTCCAAAAGCACTTGTCGTCGCTATGGCCTCTCTTCTCAGAGCGTTTCGCACTGTCCGTCCCTATCGAACACCCACGACCGGGCGCAAATGAAAGGCTTTTCCACCCCATTCACTTCTCGCCGACGGGAAGGGTATCCAGGGGGCAAAAGGCGGAAGGGAGGGGATTTGTGCACCATACAGACATGGTGCGGTGAGGGAGGGTTATAGTTGATGAAGGAGTGGCCGGTTTCCACCGGCACGATGGATGTGGGATTGGCAACCGTGATTGGGCGTGCATGTCTTTCTGGTACCTACACAGTTGTACTGTACACTATTACCCTCCAGTAAACTCATTTTCTCGGAGAGTATCCCGGCGAATATGTAAAATTTTAATCCGCCATTTGTCGGGAAGCTGTGGGTTAGGAAAATGAATGGCATACATTTCGAATTTTGTCTGCCCTTTGTCATATTTATATTTGAAGACAATGTATAATTAATTTGCCACCCGCCCGCCATTCATTATTGATCTGCCACTCCACATCCATTTAAATGCCATTCTTTTGCGTTGAGTTTTGTAGTCGAAGAGGACGGCAGATCGAGGAGTTGCAGTCACGGTTGGCTGCTGGGTGAGGAGATATTCATGAAGTAAAAGTCCTGTGCTGGACCGCAAGAAGAGCAACAGCTACGACACTATGAACAACAATGAATTCGAAGCCTGCCAAAATGTGACGAGTCTCACGTCTTCCGAGGGCAGAGCCACCTGTGTCCGTCCCTCCATACCTTCCTCCATTTCCTGCTCGTCACGTTCCAGTGCTCAAGCTACAGAAATGGTTGTTTATGACCGTAGTGAATTACATAACGTTGGTGCGTTCATAGGCCGGGAACAGCTGTGCTGAGGAAATAAAGCAGCGTCGAAGGGGAGTGAGTAGGACACTAGATAGACAGTGATAACGAAGGCTGCGTTGCGTGGTGAGGAAAAAAGCCGGGCTGTACATAACGTTATGCGTGCAGCCGGCTGCGTAGAGGAAATCAGAAAGTGACGGCAGGGGTGCGGGCGGTTCAAGGGGTGGGAAACGAGTCAGCAGTAGAAAGAGGTGCTCGGTATCGGGGGCACGCGCGTAGTGAGTCGGAGAGGCCGGGAGATCCAGAAGTTACGGTCACGGTATCGAAAGTGCACGCGTATTGAGCAGGAGAGAGCGGGAGATCGAGGAGCTGTGGTGACAGTTGGCGGGTGAGTGATGAGATATTCATGAATTAAAGCCCTGTGCTCGAATGTGAGTCGGAGAGAGCGGGAGGTCGGGAAGCTGTGGTGACGGTTGGCGGATGGGTGATGAGGTATTCATAAGTTAAAACACATCTGGGCTGGAAGGCAAGACGAGTCGGAGAGAGCGGGGAATGGAGGAGCTGTGGCGAAGGTTGGCAAATGGGTGTGGACGTATTCATGAAGTGAAAAACTTCTGCTGAACGCAAGACGTGCCACAGCCACGACACTATGAACAACAACAAAAGTTCAAGACTCCCAAAATGCGTCAATTATCACGAGATCGGAGGTTGAACGGAAGGCCACCGCTTTCCTTCCGTTCAAGTCTTCCTCCGCCTCCTGTCTTTCACATTCCACCACTGCTCGTCTGCCTTCGGATCAACCTGGCCTTCTGCGCCGCATGATCGCCCCGTTCGAAACCGTGATCGCCCCGTTCGAAACCATTCACCCACGCTACGGGGGTGACTAGGGCACTTGCAAGACCGTGAAAACGAAGGATGCGCACTCAGGTTAGGAACCGGCTGCACATGAAGTCGTGCGAGCAGCCGACTGTGTAGGGGAATTCAGAGAACAAAGACAGGGGTGCGGGTGGTTGAAGGGGTGTGAAATGAGTCTACAGTGGAAAGAGGTGCTCGGTACCAGGGGGTACGCACGTGGTGTGTCGGAGAAGGTGGTAAATCGGGGAGCTGCGGTCACGGTTGGCGGATGGGTGAGGAGGTAAAGATGAAGACAAACCTCCGTCCGGTACCGCAAGGAGAGCCACAGCCACAACACTACGAACGACCACACATTTGAATCCTGCCAAAATGTGACAATTTTCACTACAAGTGTTGAATATAGCGACCACGGTCGGCCTTTTCTTTGCGATATTACAAAGATGGTGGTACCGTAGAAAAAATCAGTACAACATAATGAGAGGGATGAGGGGACAGACCAGAATGCTGGTGCGGTGGTGTTCACCGTTTACAGAGAGTCAGGACATGCAAAAAGGTGTGGGGGCGGAGAAGGGGATGGCTGAGATGCTGAGCAAAGCAAGTAAATAGGAAAGGGGGAATTGGGACAAGAGGCAGGCTGCGGTGCGGGTCAGTGAATGAGAGAGGAGGAGGTACTATTATCAGATTGACAACAATTTCTTGAATTCGTCGTCGTTGTTCTCCCCTAAAACCTCACAGTACAGCACAGAATCACGCAATGTTATCGTGGCCCGCCCACCCCGTCTGAGGCTTGTGTTTTTTTGTTTGTGAGTCATGGGTAACGTCAAGAAAGTTACTTTTTCCGTCGACTTGGAAGTGATTCTGGGGCCTCCAGAACGCACTACAGATTCGGAGGTCGTCCAGATGGGTACAGAGAAATTGACGTCCGTCTCTGAGATGGAGGACGGCGACGGCGACGGATCGAGTGCGGTCTCGTGCAATGGCGCGAACATACTTCTTACTGACGATCAATATCAGGACGCGTACGCGAGGTACATAGCGTATTTGGAAATTGGCGGGCAAGTAGGAAGGATTGATGGTGACTCTACCGATTCTTGGGATGGTGAGGGCGTTGGGGTCATAGAAACGGGGACGAATGGCACTCTGAGGCAGCAAATGCTTGCCGAGGAGGTGGTTTTGGCCTTTTCGCGTGACGAAAAGGCGGCGCCACGTTCACGCCGAAACGGAGGATCCACTTGTGTTGCTGGAATAACATTCGAGGAAAGCATTTTGCAAGACTGGCTACGAGTTCGCCCTGCTCACCTTCATCAAAACGGTCGCCGGAAATCATGACAGATGCAGACTGAGGTGGAGCATATTTTCTTGC